TAGATTCTGGTTTGTTTGGTTTTTTGAGACGCAATTTCTCTGTGTAGCCCTGACTGTCCTGGAACTCACTAGATAGACCAGGCTGTCCTGGAATTCAGTATGTAGACCAAGCTGTCCTGGAACTCACTATGTAGACCAGGCTGGTCTCAAACTCACTATGTAGACCAGGCTGTCCTGGAACTCACAGGGATCCCCCTGCCCCTACCTCCTGAGTGCTGAGATTAAAGGTGTGCCCCACCACCTCCCAGCAATACTATTGTTTTATAGCACTGAGATATACCAGACAAATGCTCTTCCACTGAACCATATCCTTTTATTTTTTTTTGTTTTGTTTTGTTTTGAGACAGGATCTCATGTAGTCCAGGCTAACCTCAAACTCACTGTGTAGCTGAGGATGACCTTGAACTTCTGACTGTGCTGTCCTTGCCGTCTGCGTGCTGGGTGAGCGGCATGCACCAATGACGCCTGTTTATGTGGTGCTGGGCCTCATGCATGCTAGTCCAGCCCCTGCCAACTGAGCTACATCCTAACTCTTCACGTTCATTTTGAGATGTTAACTCTTCAGGCTGGACTCAAACTTGTGACCCTCTTGTCTCAGTCTCCCGAATAGCTGGGATTACAGGTCTGTGCCACCCATGCCTGGCTCTTAAAACTACCATTGTTGCCGGGAGGCAGAGCCAGGCGGATCTCTGTGAGTTTGAGGCCAGCCTGGTCTACAGAGTGAGACCCAGGACAGGCACCAAAACTACACAGAGAAACCCTGTCTCGAAAAAACAAAAAAATAAAAACAAACAATCAAACAAACAAAAAACTACCATTGTCATCCTCACTGATCAAAACTTTTCACAATGATTAAAGCACACAGTAGAAGATGAGATGTTGGAACTAAAATCCATACCATGTGTGCACACACCCAGGCATGCACACACCCAAGCATGCATGAACGAGCTTGAGAGAGAGACTAGAGAGGAGAAAGCAAACACAAGAGAGTCCACATCGGAGACCCCAAGGCACAGAACTGTAATCCAGATGGGACTTGCCGAGACAGATGGCTTTGCTGTTCTGGTGAGGTACTAACAGCAAAGGTAAACTTATTGGAGACGTCATTGTGACACTGCTCCAGTGTGAAAAGTAATAGCTCTCATGGGCCAATAAGCAAGGGTGAACACCATGTGTCCTCCATCGGGTGGCGCATCTAAGTGTAACTGATCGTGTCTCCATGGATAAAAGGGTGTTTGTCCCACATAGCACGTGGAAGGGGAGAGGGGTCCCAGCTATCACGAGTGTTACAGGGGTGCATGCATCCCTGCATGGAGCTCCAGGGTTATTGTAACTCCATTACAGGGGTGTCATTGGGTGACTAAGGTTATACACACAAGGAGTGGTTTGCAAAGCTTTACGGTCATGAAAAGCACCGAGTAATTGTTTCCTTAAATGACAACCTCAGAGGTATAGAACTGCGCACAGTGGTGTATACCTGTAATCCCAGCACTCAGGAAGACCACAAGTTTGAGGCTAGCCTGGCCTACACAGTGGAGCCCTGTCTTAGAAAAAACAAAAACTCCTGTCATATGCATCTCCACAAAATAAAAAGTGCTTTAGTAATTCCCATACAGAATCAACAAATATGTTATGGCATAATAAAAACAGTGGCGTACTATTGGACACGACAAAGAGCAAGGCGAGCGTGTGTGCAGCGCTCTGAAAATGTCCCCAAGATGAGGCACATGAAGAAAAGCCAACTGCAGAACTGTATGCCCAGTGTGCTCTCACCTGCACGAAACAGTCCAAGCGTGTAAAGACCAGAGTGTACACACTGCTCTTCCACTGAAGAGTGGGCCTGGGTGAGAGCATTCCCCTGCCTCCAACCCCCAATTCCCTCTCTTCTCTCCTTTCTTCCTCCTCCTCTTCCTTCTTTGTTTCTTGACAGACAGGTCTTGACCTGTGTCCCTGGGCTAACCTGGAGTATAGTCCTCCTTCCTCAGCCTTCTGAGCGCTGGGATTACAGGCATGCGCGACCACACACAGTTTGAGACCTGCACTTTGTCTGTGTCCACTCCATCTTAAATGGACCCGGTTGGATCTGACCTCAAAGGCTAAGCAGAACTGAGCCTCGTTGCTAATAGGAGGATTCTCAGTTTTAACTTCTAGGGGTTTTGTTTTTGTTTTTAAATAATCTTTATCACTGAGATCAATAAATGCTATATTTTCACAATTTTTACATGAAAAGAAAAAAATAAGAAGGAACTGTAACTAGATTAGTTATTACATATGGGTCCTCAAGAGAAAGTGAAGTCATCTAGAAGTCACTAAAAAAATAAACAGAAAGGGAAAATAGAAGGATTTTCAGGAAAAACATCTCAAGAGTGAAAACCGCAGGCCAGGGAGATGGTTCTGTGGGTGAAGTTCTCAGTGCAGGGACACGAGGGACCTGAGCTGGGATCACAAGGACTCGTGTAAAAAGCCAGGTGTGCCGGGGCTTGCCTCTTACTCCAGGGCCAAGAGTGGAGACTGGAGGATGGTGGGGCTTACCACCTGCAGCTTACCACAACGGGAGCGCTGGGTTCAGAGAGAAATGTCTCAGAAATATAAGGTGAGAACGACTGTAGAGATTGTAGAAGACAATGGATGCCTACCTGTGGTCTCCACCACACGCACACTCAGATGTGTGCGCACACACACACACACACACACACACACACACACACACGCCTGGAAAATGAGGTTGAAGGAGCTTCACATAACTGAGCTGGTTCCCTATGGCAGTGACTGACAGCTGCCACACCCGAGGTTCCCTGTGACCCATCTTCACAAGTCCCTGTGACTTCCACACTCTGCCACTCTGTGAGAAAGTTTCCCTGCCCCTCTAGAACTTGACTTAGCCAGTCAAGTCAGCCAGGCCTCATCATTTTCTTTTTAATCTAGGCGCTGCTCTGCTCACTGAGTCTAATAAGTGGAAGAAATTTGGTTGTCGGGGCCTGAAATCCAGAAAACACAAGGGTAGCCCCTCCAGCTCCTTGTGAACTGATGACGGAACAGAGGTTTTCTAACTGACCGACCTGCATTCCCAAACAGAACTGAGGCAGGAGAGAAAGACAGAAAATGGTAGCGACGTGGAAAGGGGAGCTGATGGCAGGTGACAGGAAAACTGCCTGTGGTCCTGGGGCCTGCCGTGGGGACGTCAGGAAACTTCAAGCATCTTTGGTGAAGTCACGGTTGCTTGGTGAGGCAGTCCGTACTTTCCACAGACATCTCACCCAAAGGTGTTGGAGGCCACAGGTAAGCTAGGCTTACTTAGGGCTGGAATGACACATGAATTCCTACCTAGGTCAAGTGTAAATAAACTGCTTATATAAGAACAAAGGGACATAGGAGCTTGAACACACCCGCTCTTTCCTAACCCTGAACAATGCCTCTTACAGATCCACCTTACAGCTTTGTCTACTAAGGAAAATGCTTTCGTTTGTGGGTCTTGTTACAAGCTATACTCTTTGAGCAGTGTTGAAAATAGTGTGAGTGTGTGTGTGTGTGTGTGTGTGTGTGTGTTGGGGGACTGGAGAGACATCTCAGTGGTTTAGAGCACTTGTTGCTCTTTCAGTGGACCAGGGTTCAATTCCCAGCACCTACATGGCAGCTCACAACCGTTTACAACTCCAGTTTCAGGGGATCCAATACCCTTTTCTGACATTCAGGAGCACTAGGTATGTACATGGTGCACATACATACACGTAGGCAAAATGTTTATACACACAAAATAAAGTAAATTTAAAGTATTTAAAAAAAATAAGTGTATGTGCACATGTGTGTTTCTGCTGGGTGGGTGGTATTCTTAGCAAGCTTTAGAGCTGTAACTTGAAAACCATTAAGATCCACTATAAACTCACTGTAAAGACACCTGAATTTGACTCTCATCCAGAAGTCCACAGTCACGCATGGGTGTGTCTCACTGCCTCCCTGAGTGCCTCGCTATTAACCCCGGTGCTCAATGTCTATGTTAGAGATGTACTTCACTTACTCTCCAACGCTTCTTCAGACTGGCTGTCCCTGAACATCCCCTCATGGAAGCCACCCCTCCTGGTTTTGCCTGGATGGAGGTCCCTAGGGCACAGGAAACTCTTGAGGCAGCTGTGGGAGATGGATGGGAGCTGTGCTTCTATCCCCGTGGTCCACAAGGAAATCTTTTCCCTCCCACATCAACTTCATTTGTTGGGTTCCTGGTCTCATCTGTTTCTGTCCCACAGGCCAGGAAGTTCCTGCTTACCTTCTTGCTGCTTTGCTGATTGCAAGACACCTAACCCATACGTCTGGTCGTCATCCTGTCTTCAGGGCTGGTGGGGGGAAGTGGCTGCAGGACTAACAGATACGACACCACCTTTGTCTGGTGCTGTCTTCTCGGAGGGCACCATGCCACTCACAACCCTGGCACTGCATTTCAAGTGCCAAGTGACATTTGCAATATCCACCTTCAAGCTCTGGGCCGGCAACCTGGGTCAAATGAGGCCCGGGGACAGGAGGCAAGTCTGCAGAGTGTGACATGTCACCCTGGGTGGAACACACACACACATACACACACACATACACACACACCAGTCCCAGATCCTCTTACTCTTGTGGATTAGGAGGTACATTCCCCAAGCCAGCCCTGGATGCCTGAGCTCCTTAACCCAGAAACAGAGAATGATGACCCCATAGAGGCCGGCTGCCACACGCCAGCTGCTGCATAAGACATGTGTGTGTGTGTGTGTGTGTGTTCCTGCCTTTCCCATGGACTCAATTCCCTCAGGAGGAGGCTGAGATGAGTGTTAATCTACATTCTCAGATCATTCTTCAGCAAATCTAAGATGCTTGAGTATATTAAATAGGTATTAAATCTCCCATGAATATTTGCAAAGAAATCTACACTCAGTTTCTCTTTCCTACACCCAGTAGGAAATATAAGATAATAAACTATATTTAAAACCGAAGCTCAAGGTTTCAAGGTAAGCAGGTAGAACACAACATTCGATGTCCTGCAAGTTTTTATTCTCCCTGACAAGACCTTTTGACATTTTATTAACAAACAATAAACAATGACAGGAAGTTATTTGGTTTCATATCATTTTCAAAAGTAGTAAGAAAGTAGGTTTTTTTTTTAAAAATAAGGTCCACATTTTAAAAAATACATTAGAAGTTTATAAAAAGTAAAAGTGTCACTATGTGGAAATATGAAAGACTAACATACCTTTAAACAAATTCTACTCAAACTACAGTTCTCCACTTTTCAGAGAAAACTTTGATTTCTTTCTTTATTCTGTGGTGCTCTGGATGGAACCCAGGGCTTTGCCTTGTTGGGCAAACTCTGCCATGAGCTGCACCCCAGCCTGAGGAGAAACTTTTCCTGGGCTTGTCCCCAGCCCTCCACGTGAAGTGACGGTAGCCGGGCCTGCCACTTCTTCAGCAGAAAGGCGGAAGTGGGAACACAGCATCACGGGAAACTGAGAGCAGCCAGATACACCCTGACCTCTGACACCGGTTACCAGTTACCGGTTATCGGGGTTGTTCCAGCCAGGGCGGGTTGTTAATGAAGATCACGGGGACCAGGAAGTGGGGAGGCTGCAAGACAAGGGGCGACTCTCGGGTGCTCCAGACAGGCGCTAAGAGATCCCCTCCCAGGCGCAGGCAGAAAAGCAGCATGAGGAGGGAGCCCACGTCCTCACAAAGCAGTGCGACACTCTCTCTGTTCTGGTCTTTCAAATGCAGCTCTTCGAAAATAACCACCTGGTAGGGAAGAAGAGACACATGCCTTTAATTCAAACAAAAATTAAAAAAAAAATGTTCTTTTTCTTTTTTTTTTTTTACATTCCCATGATAAACGACTGACCAAACCATCAGGCCAGGCTGAACAATCTGGAGACCTGAGCAGTAGGTAGCCTAGGGTCCTAATAGCAGGTGCTGTCCAGAAGGTCGAGTCCAGGGACAGCATGAAGGAGACTCCTGTCCCTCTCCATCTTTCCTCTTCCCCCATGGGCTCACTGGTGCCTTCAGGTAAACTCTGTGAGGGTCCACTGCCTTCAGGATCTGCCTTCTGATGCTCAAAGTCACTGGGCCTCACTATTGCCCGGGGACACATGGGTCTTCCTAAGTATCCACTGCCCCTTGATATGTGAGGAGCTAACATGGGGCCTTGAGAGCAGGTTTGTTAGGAGGCAATGGACAGAGACACCGGGAGATTTCAGCGTCACATAAACTCGGAAAAATACCTAATGATTGACCATCACATGCTCAATGTTTATCTGAAAATATTATGTCCTTTCAAGTCTTAGGGAGGTCACCGTCATCTGTGAGAAGCACTTGCCCCCCCCCCAACCTCAGCCCCCACCTGACCCCCCCTCCCAACCCCCTCCCCAAGCAGTAACAAATCCAGATGGCTCACAGCACAGCATGGGTGCGCTCACTCCTCTGCTTACCTCTCGCTTGGGTTTCGGATCCTGGTCATGTACTTGTCGGGCTCGGCAGCGCTCATCACTGTCGTATAGATTGTGTAGCTGAAACAACAAGACACATTCTTTGTGTGTACCTCACCTTCTCCGCACGATGCCCTTCCCCGTCTCTCGGGATGCGGGGTGAGAACGCAAAGAGGCAGAATGTTTCAACGCGAATCAAGAGCTCGAAGTGGGGTTTCTGCCTGTTTTGAAACACCACTGAAAGCCAAGGTGGACTTTAAATTCTGATTCCTCAGAGCGTCATGCTGTGGTAGTGAGTGGCTGTCAGCCCATTGGCGGGGCTGCCTCCAGCGGGGTGGGGGGTGTCAGCACCTATTCTTTGCTGTCATGATGACAGGGACCGCCCCCAAATCCTGCACAGCTACCCCTCAGAGCATATTAAGGGCTTCCTGTGGCCCTGGGAGAGCGTGTGAGTAGAACGGCAGGCTACAGGCCAGAGAAACCCTAGCTCACAGACTGCGGCTGTCGAAAGCACAGGCTAAAAAGGAAGGAATGATAATAATATCAACAGTCATAATATCAACAGTCATAATATACAACAATATTTTCTTCTTCTGTAGTTTTTTGTTTTGTTTTCGAGACAGGGTTTCTCTGCGTAGTTTTGGTGCCTGTCCTGGAACTCACTCTGTAGCCCAAGCTGGCCTCGAACTCACATAATACATAAAAAGAGAAACACAATCGCCTGGAGGTGGTGGTGGTGCACGCCTTTAGTCCCAGCACTCGGGAGGCAGAGGCACGTGGATCTCTGTGTTTGAGGCCAGCCTGGTCTACAGAGTGAGATCCAGGGCAGCCAGGACTACACAGAGAAAACTGTCTAGGGAATAAAAAAGAAAAAGAAACGCCGCCAGCGAGCCACCGGGAGAAGGCAGAGCAGGAGTGGGTAGCTCTTAGATAAGCCCTGACTCTCCACTGGGCCCAGGAGGTAACCCAGAGCAGGCCAAGCTCGGCCGCGCCCCTTCATTTTACACCGGTCTCCTTGGCCCACTGCTGTCTTCTGCACACAGGCACGTTAAGCTGTCACTGCACACAGCCTGCTGTAGGGAGTGTCCATCTCGAAACCGGTGCCCATCTAAACTACATCATCCCGATTCAAGGCTCAAGATACACAGAAGCATCTCACCGTCCATTTTTATATTGTCCCGTTCCAGTTCCCCCAAATACACCTAAACACCCCCAATCATTATCCCAAACCTGCAGCCAACCTAGGTTCCAGGAGCAGGACAGCCTTGCAGGACAGACCACCCCCACCCCCAAGGCAGGGCAATCATCTAAGACAGCCAGAGGGGGTCTGCACATGGAAGGGGTTCATCGCCTGAGAACCAGCCTGTCCCCTCAAGAGGGGAGGACTTCTTCAGAGCCCCCTGCAGAAGCAGAATGGGACAGTGGTGAGGCAGACCACGCTTTCACCAGGAGGACCTACTCTTGACTCTCCCCCCATTCTTCTGTTTAAACCCAGCCTCCTGCCAGCACCCTGAGGACAGCTCAGACTCACTGAGCCCTCGTGTGTTGCTCTCCCGGGGATGCTGACTGAAATGCCTTTCTCCGCTTCCCTCCAATACGCAGCTCTTTAACTGGCGTGTTAGGACAGGCAGCTGAGCTGGCTTTTGGAGGCTGCCAGTGCCAGGGCTTTTGTTCTGAAACTCGGGTTACCTGGTCACAGTAACATTCTTCTCGGGGGAAATGAGAGACGTACTGAACGTGCAACTTACTTGTTATACACAGGAAACACAGATAAAACCTGCATAGGAAAAAAATCATATTATGAAAATATGAAAAGGCAGAAGAAACACATGTAGAGCACGTATGAAGGAGAATATAACCACTCGGCCTGCGAGACGGCTGAGCAGGTAAGGGAGCTTGCTGCCAAGCCTGAAGACCTGAGTTCAATCCCTGGAACCCCCATGGTAGAAGGAGAAAACCAACTCCTTCCCGTAAGCTGTCCTCTGAGCTCCTGAGTGTATGGTGTGGCATGAGCACGCACACACACACACACACACACACACACACACACACACACACACACACACTAAATGTTTGTAAAAAAGAATATAACCACTTAACATTTCGGTGTATCTCAGGATGATTGTTATAGATTTTTAAATCCTTGTCCTCTCTCGCTTATTTATTTTTATTTCATGTGATTTGGTGTTTTGCCTGCATATATGTGTGTGTGGGAGTGTTAGACTCCATGGAACTGGACTTACACAGACAGTTGTGAGCTGCCATGTGGGTGCTGGGAATTGAACCTGGCTCCTCTGGAAGAGCAGTCAGTGCTCTTAACCGCTGAGCCATCTCTCCAGCTCTTGTTCTTTCTCTTTTAAACAACAAACACATAACTATGCTTATTTCTTTCACTATGAAGAGAAGCTTAGGTGAAGACCGATACTCTAACCTACACAGACCCAAACTCAGAAAATATTAAGTGGCTTTTTAAAATGTTCTCAATTTTTATAGAACTTTTATTGCAACATTTTTCTTGATTTCAGAGAAGTTTTCTCCATCCTCTTTGGACAACAACACTCTAGAGATGTAAGCACAGAGATAGGGTTACCTGGAAAAGGGCCTCCAGGCTGAGGTGTGCTTGCCCTGTGGCATTTAGGGCTTTGATGGCTGGTGTTCTGTAAGGACAAAGGGTCAAAAGTCACCAGGTGCCTCAGGAAACCCTGAACTCCATCAGAGGCCATTTGGAGTGTCACAGCGCCAGGCACAGTCTCCTCCAAACAGACTGACTCCCAACCTCCTTCCTGTGTCACCCGATTCCTTCTGCTGTACCCCCTAACCCCATGTGCTCCAGGAAGCCAGGGCAAGTGCTGCAGAAATCAACTACTGCCAAACATGCGGGACAGCAGAGATTAGTGAGATATACTACTTCCTGTAAGCCAGTGACTCAGTATGTACACATTAGAAAGGACAATGCGAGCCCTTGTATCAGCAGATCAATTGGCTGATTGATTTATGGGAGATGGCTTCCTTCCAAATCAAGTCTTACCACAGTATCCCATCATCCAGCTCTTCCCATCCACTTTCAGGGAGGCGAACAAAGGCCCCAGTGGCCCCATAGGGTCATTGGTAGAGTTCATGATGGGATCCAGGGCCCTTTGACCCTGAGGCCAGGGCCAACCTCACCCTTCCAGCCCCCACCAACTAAAAAGAGGTCCTCCCCACTGCCCTCCTCCACACTGTGCTCCCCACCCTGCCCAGGCCCTGGTGAGGGCCAGACGTATTGTCCGGAAGGGGATGGCACCTGTAGGTCCTTATTGTAGGAAGAGAACAGTCTCCTGACCGTGAGAAAATATCGCAAGTCTACCTGCAGAGATGGGTATGGAGGCTCATGCCTCTAATCCTAGTACCAGGGAGGCTGAGGCAAGATGATTACTCTGAGTTTGAGGCTAGCCTAGGCTTTAAAGTGAGTGCCAGGCTAGCCTGGGCTGCGGAGTGAGACCCTGTCTCAATGAAAAAGAACCAAACAAGAACAAAGCGTCTACCTTCGGTCATCCCTCTTGGGTACAGGCTTCCAATGATCATAATTTGTCTCAACCCGGAACCACCTGCAATAGAGTGCGTCAGTTCGCCTTGTCCGGGGACATGTAGAAGAAACACTAAAATGTCAAAATAACTCCTACTTCAGCAAATAAAAGATTTGATGAAGAGACTGCAATCTACTCACGCTCCATTCAAAGGGTCAAGAGGCCAAATGTCCGCTGGGCCACCTCTGTCCCTGGTGATGACGACCCCCTCCCGGGGCGCGGTGCCCCCAACGATATAGTAAACATCAGCAATGAGGGGCGTCTTGGCCAGAGTGTAAACAGCCTCCTCAAAGTTCTCTGAGTTACTCAGGGTCTGAACAAAAAGACAAACCAGTATTGGCGACGTCACCCAAGGGAAAGGGACACATGGCAGGACACGCATTCATTCCAAAGCACGGCCTCCTAAGCTCCTCCTAAGGTGATGCTAAGCCATGGCTGTAACCTGTGACCCCTGACCTTACCCTGTAGTCACTGGGGCTCTTGAGAGGAAAACAAAACAAGACTGACAACGCCCTCAGAGAGCCGACAGCTGCAGGAATTTCTCCAGGACAGAACTGTCGGCTAGTCCTAGACATGGCGACATGATTTTTGACCATATCTCCTCACTCATTTGCTCACCCCACAGCCACTTCTTGAACAGGGCTCTGCACTAGGCGATGTGCTGGAGGGGGGCCAGGAGCTCATTCTTGCTCTCAACAAATTTCCCAAGAACCCGAAGACATAACCAGGCAACGGTGACATGTAAAATAATGAAGGAAGTCACAACAAGGAACCCAGCCTCTCTTAGGGCCCAGGAACTCAGGTACCAAGAGACAGATAAGAGTCACACTGTGAGGGTGGCTACAGGGTTCAGAGTGGATGTGGGACTGAGTCCCAGGTCAGTGGACTCAACGGGCAAAGGCTTGGGATAGAGCGATGGCATGTGGCGTTAGAACGAGGAGCCAGACCAAGTCTGCGAGGACACGCCAAGGTCTGAGGCGTGCACAGCGAAGAGGGTCACTTCCCAGCCCCCCACTCCATGTGGGCTCCTTCCCTAAGCTCGGCTGCCAAGAACCCCGTGCCGTAGGGACGCCCCGTTCTCTCCGCCTTCGCAATCACCTCTGTCACTTTCTGAGAGAAAGACATTTCACGGTTACCATCCTGACAAGACACACAGAAGTCTGGGGAGAGGAAAGGGGTCAATGAAAGGGCCACTCAGCAGCTAGCGTCCCCCAGCTTCTATCACATGGCACATAAGCCCTGACAGGGCCTTGTACATATTGCTGGAAAGATGAGATATTTTTATTATTTTATTTACATTTATTTCATGTGTGTCTTCTCTGACTTCTCTAAGTCTCCACTCACCCCTTCCTCATCCCCTTATTCTTCCTTTAAGGCAGCCAGCCCCTCTGTACCACTCAGAGCGGAGCTCAGTTCACCCCATTCTTATCTCTATTGCAGGACGACATTACTGGTTAAAATCTGCCTGTGTCATTGCTGGTCAGTACCCAGCTTTATCATAATGTTTACGTGCAAAGAGATGTATTGGAAAACGGTACACTGCTTACTCCTCTTGGGAAAATAAATCAATCTTGTTAAAGGACATAGAGACCTGGAGCATGGTCCCTCTGTTTTGATGAGCTTGGGCAAGGTAGACTGAACACTAGTACTCACTTTGCGGATAAGCCAGCTGACCGGAGAGTGTCCCAGAGAGATTGCAGCGATAGCATTCTCCCACCACCAGCCTCTATCTGCACGTGTAAAAAAGCATCCATCAGCTCATGGTCCAAACACCATTCACATTAAAAAAATAATTTTTAACTAAAAGAGTGCTTTTTTTTTTTTTTTTTTTTAAAAGAGTGCTTTTATTACATGTATTTCCATATTTATTTTTATTGTGTGCTTAGATGTGTGTGTGTGTGTCATAGCATGTGCATGAGTCCGGAGACAGCCTGCGGGAGTCAGCTCTCTCCCTCCATTACGTGGGTCCCGGGGCTCACACTCAGATCCTCGGACTTGACTTAGGTGCCCTTACCCGCTGAGTCATCTCGCTGGCCCTAAGCCTGAGAGTCAACCAATCACGAAAACATCTACACACAAGTGAATGTGTGTATACATACAGCAATAAACGAGGACATGCAGGTATTCACAGATTTCTCTCTTTCTATTTTCTCTTTTATTTATTTTTTATTTTTTGAGACAGGATCTCCTATGCAGCTCAAGGTAGATTCCAATGTGATATTCCTCTGCCTCAGCATCCAGAGCATTGGGATATAGACGTGTGCCTCCATGCCCAGCTTCCCTCTGGTTTTGAAAACAGAATCTTTTGTATCTGACACAATAGTGATTAGGTTAGATAAAAATCATTCTACCAATAATTACCTGAGGCAAAATTAAATTCTGTTTCTTTCAAGGGAAGCTGCCCAACAAATACTAGGAAGAATGTGGTGAACTTTGTCTTTCTGATGCATCTTTAGTGAGTTTAAATATGACAGCATTTCATCAAATTTGTATGTTACAGACTAACTCAGTTACTTTAGATTGTTCACATTCCAATAACCAGTTTAACAAACATCTTAATTCAGAAGATGATGGAATCAAAGCCTGTTTAAATAAACATATACATTTGTAGACATCACACACACACACACACACACACACACACACACAAAACCTCTTAACATTGTCATGCTGTGGTTTAGATATGCTAGCTCAGACTAGCTGAGACTCAGATTCATTCATAACTGATATTTGAGAAAATGTTGAATAAATACACAGGTATAAAAAGCTGAATACTGGGCCAGGTAGTGGAGATACACGCCTTTAATCCCAGTACATGAAAGGCAGAGGCAGGAGAATCTGTGAGACTGAGGCCAGCCTTGACTACATAGTGAGTTCCAGGACAGCCAGACCTTCACAGGGAAACCCTGTCTTGAAAAACAAAACAAAAAACAAAAACCACACACACACACACACACACACACACACACACGAATAAGCCTATCCAAATGAAGCAATAACAGCCCGATGCCAGTCAGGTCCCATCAGATGAGGAATATCATGTGAATACTCTGCTCTTCCTTAGCAGCAAGCCCCTGGGGACAGAGGCAAGAGGTTGACTCTCCCAGGTTTGAGCCTGTGCATGTTAAATCCAAGAGGTTCACAAAGGTTGCCTGAACCTCTGGATGAATTCAATAGCTCCCTAGTGTTCTTCTGACTCTGTCTTAACCCAACACAGTCCAATCTCTACTGAGCAGCCAAAGATGGCCAAAAACATAAACCCGGGCTAGGGTGGTGCGGCGTTTCTGCAATCCCAGCATTCAGGAGGCTGATATAAAAGATCCTACTGTTTCAAGTGTGTGTGTGTGTGTGTGTGTGTGTGTGTGTGTGTGTGTGTGTGAGAGAGAGAGAGAGAGAGAGAGAGAGAATCTGTTCACTCTTTGGCCTAAAACTCTCCTATGGTTTCTATTCTGCTTAAAATCCAAACGCTCATCATGGCCCTGCACCTGGCCACGTCCGTAGCCACAGTCTCCTCTCCACATCTCCGATGTTCTTCCTCCCTGCCGTAACTACCCCGACATTGCTTCATTTCCGGACTCTACCAACAGTGATACCTCCCGACCTTCGCTGTTGCTGTCAGACCACAGCAATGATCTTCCCTTTACCTCTGCAGACCCAGACTGGGATCACATGGGTCAGACCTTCCCTGACCTAGTAACAACCTATCCCCCCTCCCCCTAGCCCCATGCCTCTGCACCTCCCATCAGATCATCCTTCACTCCGTCCTTGGTAGCTCAGGCACCACTGAGGTGACCCCCATTGCTCATAGGGCTGCTCTCTGTCTCCCCTCAGGAGTGGAAAGTTTCCCTTCCACATATCCTGCTGGCGGAGAGTGAAAGGAAGCACAGAGAAGACCTCAACAAGGATTTGGTCTAAAAGGCTCAGAGTTTTTTTATATTTTTGGTTGTGAGCCTAGCCTTTAACGGCTGAGCTATCCCTCCAGCCCCAGAGTTTTTTTAATTACCTCGTTCATCGCCAGAAACTGTAAACTTGTGTGGACTCTGACCTGTCCACAGTCCGACATAGCCAACGAAAGTAGTCCCCGTGAAGGCAATCTGAAATCAAGGGAAAAAAGCGTCATTTACCACCCAACACAATGCACGTTGACATCACTTAATTCCCCCACACTTTCCTGATTGTTCGTTTGTTTGTTGAAACAGTGCCTCACCAGGTAGGCCTGGCTGGTCTGGAACTCGCTCTGTAGTCCAGGCTGGCCTCAGACTCACAGAGATCCACCTGGCTCTGCCTCCCGAGTGCTGGGATTAAAGGTGTATGCCACCATACCCAGATTCCTGGATTTTTTTTTTTTTTTTTTCCTTAGAGATTTCAACATAACAGAATGAAATTCTGAAACAGCATTCTAGAGCAAGGGTTCTTAACCTTGTCGGGAGAGGGGTCCATGGACAGAATTCGGCAAATGAAATGGATGGGGGTGGGGTGTGCAGCCTCCCTTTCCCTAACCAAACTAGACCCCACTGCTTTTTTGTTTTTCTTTTTTTTTTTTTCTTTTTTTCTTTTTTTTTCTGAAACAGGGTTTCTCCATGTAGCCCTGGCTGCCCTGGGACTTGCTCTGTAGACCAGGCTAGACTTGGACTCAGAGATCTGCCTGCCTCTGCCTCCTCGGTGCTGTGCTGCGATTAAGGCATGCACCACCACACCCGGCTCTCCACACTGCTTTTTAGTGAATGTGCTTGGCAAAGCAAAGCATGACGTAATGGCGGTGCCTGTGGTTTATCAGAGGACCTTGCACCAGCAAGGACACGAGTGACAGTGGTTTGCAGATGACTTACACCACCACCCGTGGTGTCCCTATGCAGGAGTCATGGTAGTGACTGTTTCTACCACTTTGCATTCCGCGTGTCTATGAAACACTGTTCACCCGGAAGACTTTCCATTCTGAAAGTAGCAAATGGAGTCCGACTGGAAACGTGTTTTGGGTTCATGACAAGAGACAAGCACTCTACATTTATAAGGTCTGTGGAATTAAGGGGGACAAGTAAACTGGCTCCCCAGTAACAGCAAGATTAAAGCTCAAATGCTTTAAAAGTCACCCTACATCCAGCTTTCATTTAACACGACAACCGTCACTGTAAACCAAGTCACAAGCTGCGGTGGTGCCGAGGGCCACGGCAATGACCTTCAGTCCCAGGCTTTGTTCACTCAAGGAAGCATCTGGAAGAGTGCACACAGTTTGTGCTGTTTACAACAGCTAATATTTTTATATTTTGATATTAAATAGACCTAGATTAGTATTTTTATTTTTAAAACAATATTAAAGTTAGGTGTGGTGATGAATGCCTTTACTCCCAACATCCAGCATTCGGGAGGCAGAGGCAGGCAGATCTCTTAGTTTAAGGCCAGTCTGCTCTACATAGTGAGTTTCAGGACAGCCAGGGCTACACAGAGAAACCCTGTCTCAAAATAACAACACAAAAACAACCTTAATATTATACTAATAACCTTGTTCACTGGGTTACTCAAATTTGCTTCATCTGGCTGTGAAAGTAACTTGGGTGACTGAACTCTAAGGGGAAGAAGGCCTTCTTTCCCCCAGACTTCTCGAGTGCCTCCGTGAAGGCTCCCTATCACCACCCACAGGAGTGTGGTGGGAGTGCATTAGCCCCGCAATTAAAACCAGAGGGTTGGCTCTGTGCTTAAAGAATATACTGCTCTCGAAAAGAAAGGACCAGACTCCATCCAGGCCCTGCACCCACGTGGGCAGATCACACCAGCCTGGAACTCTAGATCACTGTGCTTACACTTAGACACACATGCATTCACAATTAAAAATAAAGAGCCCTACCATGGAGTTACAAAAACAATTAAAAAACTTGCTGTTCTTCCAGAGGACACAGGTTCAGTTCTCAGCACCCACATCGTGGCTCACAATTGCCTTCAACTCCAGTTCCATGGGATCTAACTTCCTCTTCTGGCTTCTGAGGGCACCTGCACACAGGTGGTACACCTATATACACTCAGGCCCACAGGCATACACATAAAATAAAATAATAAAATAAAATTGTAAAGCTTCTTTAAAATGCAATCATATGGAAACAAACAAACAAAAAAAACCCAGAAATTCTCCTGCCACTTCATTTACATGATACACCCCCGGTCCTGAGTGGGTACACCCTCACTTCCTAGGAGACAGGAACAAAGTTAGGAAATCAAAACCACATTTTGCTTGCAATATTAGTACAGTTAGAAGCTGTAAGGTAGCTTTCTTTGCAGTTCTGCATTTTATTTCTAAATGTACTCCCCAACCAGCTCTTCCAAGTCCATTAACATAAACCCTGACCCTGTGATGCTAACGATCTAGCTATGGCTGAATGAGGGCCCTGGATAAAATCTAGCAGGGGCTGAAGGCTGAGTTCTGGTCCCAGCTCACGTATCTCCACTGTCTAGTTTAGGGCACATGGGTCTCTCAGGCCTGGTGTGTAACTGCTGAGCCATCTCTCCAGCCCCGTACAACCCACTCTGAATTTAGCAAGAAATACTCTCTTACTCACGAGTCCTCCTCAGAAAAACAGCACCCAGGTGTAAGCTAGCTGGATTAGGGAACAATCACCTGACCATCCCCACAGACGATTCCTGTGGGAGCTCCAGCATAAGCGGGAGCTAATGAAGCAACACCCGTCAAATACTTCACGTTCACGTTGACCAGTTCTCTGACTCTAAGAATATTTCCTCACTACGGGCCACAGAAAAGCATAGAGGAGTGAACTAAAGCAACCACTCCATCCTTTGGTAATAACATCTTAGCAGATTTCCTTTGGGGATTGCTCAGGGGGCCTGCAGAGACGGCTCAGCGGTTAGGAGCACTTGCTGCTCTTGCAGAGGCCCGGGTGTGGTTCTGAGAACCTACTTATGGCGGCTCACAAACACTAACTCCATCCAGGGGACCTGTACCCCTTTCTGGCTTCTCCAGGCTCCTGCTTGCATGCAGCTCACAGAACCTCACTTAGGCTCACACACTTACATTTAAAATAAAAATAAATAAATAAATTTAAAAAAAAAAGAACAGTGCATTTGTATTATCACTGTTGCCACTTAAAGTTGTCCTTTTGAAGTAAACAAAAACTTGTCAGTAATGTCAAAGTAAATGAACGGAATTGAGAAAGGAGAGACCTTCATTAAATGTTTCTGTATAGAATCTTTTATGAAAGGTTTTCTCCACCAGGTGACCGAATGAGTATCAGTAAATATATTTCTATTATTTCTGAGTCAACCACAAAATGCAAAGAACAAAGAATATAATCCTTCAGGTCAAAACATGACTTTCCACGCTCCTTTCTGATGTGTGGCTATAGTGCATTCTACATTACATCAATATTGATTAATACTGCTCTCTAGATGTTTGCAGTCACGTGACAACAGCAAATACTAGATTATATGCACCACGTGAGTGCCTGATCCCCGAAGGTCACCAGAGGGCAACACATCTCCAGGAGCTGGATTATGGCTGGTTTTCAGGTGCCATGCAGGTGCTGGGAACTGAACCCAGGTCCTGTGTGAGAGCAGCCAGTGCTCTTAACCACTAAGCCAGCTCCAGGATTTAGCCACTGTTTATCTAGACCTAGAATCTGCTTTACATAGAGGACTTCATTTAATCATAACAGCTATTTCAGAGAAGCAAATATTAACGCCTTTGAGCTGGAGCTTACAGAAGAGGACTGAGTAATTCTCAATGGAAATAAAGACAGAGGCACGATGCAAACCCAGGACTACCCCACCTTAAAGCTGGGTGCCCCTCGCCACTGTGCAGCCCTTCCCTATTCAAGAAGCCACCCGAACAGGGAGAGCAGAGGAAGACGCAGATTGTACACAACCTCACAAGACTGATCACTGCCCCTGGGCTGGCTGGTCTTATGTCAACTTGACACAAAAACTAGTTATCTGGAAGGAGGGAACCTCAACTGAGAAAATGCCTTCATAAGATCCGGATGTAAGGCATTTTATTTGTTAGTGATCGATACGGGAGGGCCCACTGTGGTGGTGTCATCCCTAGGCTGTTGGTCCTGTATTCTTTAAGAATCAGGCTGAACAAGCCATGGGGAGCAAGCCAGTAAGCAGCACTCCTCCATGGCCTCTGCATCAGTTCCTGCCTCCAGTTCCTACCCTGCTTGAGTTCTTGTCCTGACTTTTTTTGGGTGATACACAGCAATGTAGAAGTGTAAGCTGAATAAACCCTTTCCTCCCCAACTTGCTTTTTGGTCACGGTGTTTTGCTGCAGGAATAGAAACCCTAACTAAGACAACCCCCTAAAAATGTGCCTAAAGAAAACTGGCCTTGTTAAGTCCATTCCTACCACCCTCACAACGACAACCAATCCTTCCTCATTGGCTATAATTGACATAAATCTCTCCTGGTTTTGTTTTTCACAGGAAGGTGATGGTTTGGGGGTTATTTTTAAACAGGGGAGGTGGGGCTTGTGTGTGCCATGGTGCATGTACAGAGGTCAGAGGAAAACTTCAATTCTGTGCATCAATCCTTGCCTTCCACCTTCCCTACAGGAGGGTCTCTTATTCATCACAGTCTCTGCCAGGCCAGCTGGCCTCTCTCTCATGAGCACTGGGATCACAGGCACCTGCTACTGAGTCCAGCTTCGCATGGTTTTGAGGATGCAGACTGCTCCTCATGGTCCACTGAGCCATTTCCCCCAACCTGGTGTTTGGCTCTTACAGGGAGAAGTAAGTGCCTAAGAGGGCAGGCTCTGCAAATGGCTCCTATCCCGGATCAGAAGCCGGGCTGACCTCTCCATCTTGTGCACACGGCAGTACCTGGCCCCATCTCTCCATCTTGTGCGCACGGCTGTACTTGCCCCCATCTCTCCATCTTGTGTGCACGGCTGTACCTGCCCCCATCATCTCTCCATCTTGTGCGCACGGCTGTACCTGCCCGTTCTTTAGGAACTGCACGTCCACCGTCAGCTTTCTCAAGGCATTTCCAAAAGGGTAGTCCAGGTTCCGGCCATGGTAAATGTGGCCTTGGGAGTCTTGAGCCACAATACTGGTGCAGAATCTGAGCAAAGGGAAAATCCCAACATGAATGAAGGCAGCAGGAACAAAGGGCAAGATTTCTGTTTTTAAAACAACTCCTCAAAGTATCAGGTTTTCTTCCTTATCATTGACATAAATGCTATAATATGCTCTTATACAAGGATATGGAATTATAACCCTGGCTGGAAAATACAACTGGATACAATGCATCTGGACCCACACGATGCTGCTACAGATGTACCAGATGAGAGTTTCATCTTCCCCCACGTCCTGCCTGTATGCAAGGCGCAGCTAGACCTCTGAACTCTGCTTTGCTTGCTGGTATGTTACCTGTTAACATGTTATTCAAAGCTAGCCCAAGCTGCCCTCTTTAGACTAGCATTGTTAGAGCACACACACACACACACACACACACACACACACACACACACACACACACGTAAAAATACTAATTAAATTAAAAGGAACTCCAGGCTGGGCATAGTGACTGCAGTCTTTAAACCCAGAACTTGGGAAGCAGAGGCAGGTAGATCTCTGAGTTTGAGGCCAGCTTGTTGTACATAGACAGTTCCAGGCCAGACAGGGCAACCCTGCCACAAAAATCAATCAATCAATCAATCAATCTTTTAAACAAACTTTTCCATACTAATTTTTTGTAATGATTCAATGTTACTATTTGTTTCTAATTTCAATTAGAAAAAAACAGTATTACCTCACTGTTTGATTTGTTTAAAGAAGAAAGCTTGGTGAGGTTTTGACTTCTAAGTTTTCTTATCTTGACCTCAAATGGTCATGTAGAGTTGGGGACCCAGGTAACATGGTGAGTGGTTGAAGTCTGCAGAAGCTGTCTCAAAGTTGATATTTTCTAAATGGCAGCAAGGCGACCACCATTGCCAAGTCTTTTTTGGGCATGTCCTGGAACTCACCATCTAGACTGGCCTCAAACTCACAGAGATCCTCCTGCCCCTACACCTGTCCCAAGTGCCAGGATTGAAGGTGTACACTGCCATTCCTGGTGTGCACGTCTTTCAATGTGACCCCTCCTGCAGAAGCACAGGGGATATGAGACGCCTCTGCCTCAGGGCAGCCTTGGAACTCACCAGCCACCAGAGAGCTGACAAAGGTTCCCTCAGAGGTTTGGTTTCCACATCACAAACCAGAAAATGCCACCTTCCCCCGAGGGCAGTGCTCCCCGGCAGCCTGAGGCCATGAAGATTCAGTAGTGGGTAGTTAGCTAGGGCTTAGTCACCATTCTCCCACAACCAGCCTTCAGAAGTGAGAACAGAGCACTTCCTACCTGAACCCGAGGGTGCTTTACAAAGAAGAGTGGGCAATTTAATAAACACCTTCACCTGAGACACAGGTTAAATTAACTTAGTTCCCTTCGAAAGGCTAGAGTACACAGAAGTCTTCCCCTGGGAAGGCAGACAGTTAAAATGCTTAGGGATGCTTGCTCTTCTGAGGTTGGAAAGTTGCCATACAATAGTTTGTTATTCCACAAACTTCCCTTTGTTCACCTTTTTTCTTTTTAAATCTTATTTTACTTATTTATTTATTTTCTAGAGAAACAGGGTTTCTGTGTGTCCCTGGCTGTCCTCGAACTAGCTCTGTAGATCAGGCTGGCCTTGAACTCAGGGATCTGCCTGCTTCTGCCTCCTGAGTGCTAAGACCAAAGGTGTGTGTCACCACTGCCTGGCTGTCCCTTTTTCATCTTAAGGCAGCCAGATGCTTTAAGCACCTACCGGATGTCCATGCAGGGTGGGAAATAATACGGGGCATGCTGGGGACTTCCTCTACTGATTCGATCGATCTTCTTTTTATTTGTGTGGGAGAGGGGAGAGTGCGTGTGTCACAGCGTGCTTCTGGGGGCCAGGGGACAAGCCACGGCAGTCAATTCTCTCCTTCTACCACGTCTCAGGGATTGAACTCAGGTGCTCACGCCGAGTCAGCGCTTTTACCCACCAACCTATCTCGGTGGCCCTCCACTTTACTTTTTAGACAGGTTCTCCCACTGAACTTGAAGCAGCAAGTTCCCATGATCCTCTTCTCTTCTCCCACCCCTGCGATTGGGTTACAGGCACCTGCGGCCATACCCAGCCAGGGATCTGAATTCAGGCCCACTCTATCGGCCACAGGCACCCTCATCCACAGCGCCATCGCCCCAGTCCTTGGGCAGTTTGGAAAGTAGGATGCCCCCTAGATTGATGGCAAGATAAAACCAAGTCTTGGGTAGAGCAGCTGCTTCCTCCTGAAAGTCCACCAGACAGGCACATGCTGCTCAGATTTCCCCGGGGAGTCAGAGACCTAAGGTGGTTTCCAAACTGCCAGGACTATCTTATTTTATCTCACAGCAAACATACCTCCTCCCACTCATCGGGGGTGACAATCCCCGACAGGTGACAGTTAATTGACTTAATCCGCCCTAGCATGGGGTACTTACGCGGAGGCCTCATAGGCCAGGTTGACCAAGATACCCTCGGCCAGGCTGACGTTGAAGAAGTTGCTTATGCCACGGATCTCGTCGGTGAAGGGCTGGGGCAGGAAGCTCTCCACCTTCGACACCACCTCTCCGATCATCTCGAGGACCCACTGGGGAACCCTGTTGCTAGAAACGACAAAGCACAAAGCTTGCTTCTCCTGCTCAGAGCACGGAGGGTGCAAGTGTGCGTGGACTAGGAGAGAGGAAAGTTAAGAGTCTAGACTTTCTCGGAACTGAAGCACTCGCCCTGCGGCTCCATTGCCAGAGTCCAAACCTGAGGGAATAAACCGGAGCAGTAGAGCAGGGCTGTAATCCCAGCTACTCAGGAGGCTGAGGCAGGAGATCACAAGCAAGGCCCGTTTACGCTACACAGCGAGACTTTGTTTTCTCCTAACATAATATTTTTATTAACTATTTGGTAATTTCATACATCGCACCCCAATCACACTCGCTTCTCATTCCTCCCGGGTCCACCCTCCCGCTCCCACCCCACCCCACCCCACCCCCGCGCGCAAAAACAAAAACAAACAAAAAACCCACCAAGCCTAATTTGTGTTGTCCATATACTCATTGGAGCAGGGTCAAACTCCCAGCGAGACTTTCAAAATGAAAAATTTAAGGGCTAAGATAAACCCAATGCACTCGCCTCCATCTCCAGTGCCAAGCACCATGGAGGGGGAGGCGGGCAGACAGGCTGGTCCGGGATGGGGAGGCTCCTGAGCTGCATGCCTTACTCCGCAGCTTAGCCGAGTGAGTGACACCTTGTGCGTCGCCCTGACCCGGAAAAAGTCTGGAAGACGCGCGCGCCAGCCACCGGAGACCCCGAACTTGAGAGCCTAACCGGCCTAGCGGTGTCAGCCACCCGCTGGGCGCTGCAACGAGCCGTGGGGAGGGCAGGGGTGCAGCGGAGGGAGGGCAGGGGTGCAGCGGAGGGAGGGCAGGGCTGCAGCACCAGGGGAGGAGCAGAGTCCGGCTGCAAGCTCACCGGACCTGTCCTGCGCTCACCTGATGACCTCCGCCACCGCGGAGCGCACGAAGTCCGGGTCGTAGTGCTGCAGCATCGGCAGCCAGCGTAGCTCCGGGGCCGCGTCCAGACTGACGTTGAAGAGCGGCGGAGTCCCGGGGCCGCCGGCCGACAGCCGGGGCCCCAGCAGCAGCAGCAGCAGCAGCAGCAGCAGGGCCAACTCCAGGGGTGCCCCAGGGCCCGCAGCTCCGGTGGCTCGGGTCCCCATGGCCCAGGCTCCTGAGGCCACCACCTCACCACTGAACCTTGGCCCGGTCCGGAAAGCGAAGGGAAAGGCATCGGGGCGGTGCTAGCACTGAAGGCGGAGCCTGCCCTGGGTCGGTCCACCCCACCGGTCTCCAGGAACCCAGGCAGTGACACCCGCCTCCTGCCCCAGCGGATCGAGCCTGCTTCTCACTCACAACTTGAGGCCGCATCACACCTCCGTGGGCCAAGAGTGTGAGCGGTGGTGGTCCAGGGCGTCAAAGCCCTACTGTATCGTGCCTTTACTCTGCATTTGCTCACTTTAAAACTTTCTGAAGGGCAGAACTTCTTCTATTCAAAACTCCCAAGGAAAAGCTAAAAATTTAATCAACATTTGTGTGCTATTATTTTTGCTGACTCCCATTTATCAACACCAGCCCAATGACAACTCCTATGAACTCACATTTTACTGGTGGCGGAGCTGGGAGGGAGTCAGGTTGTTTGAATCCAAAGCCTACCTTAGCAAATCTCCAACCCGAAGCTCTTGGACTACTCTGATGTGTCCCCAATATCTGGGAGACTGGATTTGTAAGTCACCTTGGTAAGACCCAAACCTTCTTATGAGATAGCAGAGTTGCCTATAACCAAACAGCTAAATTTGCACAGCACAAGAAACTTAGTTTATTTTGTTCAGGTGTTCCCCATTGCTCTATCATTTTTTAAAAAAAACCCAGTCTTTATTTTTATGATTTTATGTATATGTGTTTTGCCTGCATGTATTTCTGGGCACCTCATGTGTGCCTAGTACCCCAGGAGGGCAGAAGAGGGCTTCAGATCCCCTGGAATCGGAGTTGTAGTAGATGGTTGTGAGCTGCCATGTGGGTAACTGGGAATCGAACCCAGGTCCTCTGGAAGAGTAGACAATGCTCTTAACCTCTGAGCCATCTCTCCAGTCACCACCCCCATCCTTTCCTACCCCTGTCCTCCAGCAGGACCCACCACTACCTCTGATTTGTCTACTTTGATGGCCTGTATGCCACTAAGCTGAGGCACCTTTTGTTTTTCTCTAAGTCCTGCTTCATTGTCCCGGAGCAAATGCCCCACTACAGCATAATAGCAAGCAGCTAAACACCAGGAGCCCTTCCTCAGCTACACACGGAAGCCATGGCTCTTCTGCATTAGATAAATAAAGCACAACTCAGGTTTAATAAGCATCTGGTGTCTAGTTTCCAGAGGGAAGCTGCCATGCTCAGGGACTCACAACCATGTCAGGACCCCTCCCCAGGAATCACTGTGTGGGGCCAATTTTTTTCCCAAAATTGTGCCGTACTTAAAAGCCTAAGGAACAAACTGCCCCCGGGTCAGACTCTAGAAGTGTGAACCGGTACCGGCTACTGAGCCGTGCTGAACCGATTCCTTCTCCGCAGATCCTTTCTCTGTGGATTGTTTCTCTGCTGACCACAGCATTTGCAGGGACCCCCACACAGTTCTAAACAGCAGAAACACCTCACCGCTTTTTGGCAGGAACATAATAAATTATGAATGGTTGACTAAAGAACGCAACATTTAACAAAATGAAAATTTCATTTATGAAGACTACCGCTGGGGCAGGGGAAGAAGACCCGGTTGGAAAAGCACCTGCTGTACAAGCATGAGGTCCCAAGTGTGGATCCCGGCACCCAAGTAAAAAGCCAGGCTTGTGGTCCCAGCGCCGGGGAGGCAGAGACCGAGGGATCGCAGGCCAGTCCGCCCCAATCGCCTCTTGCTGAGATGGAACTAAACTGCACACCCAGTTTATCCAAATCAGTGAGCATCATGCTCAGTGAGAGAAAAACCGCGTCTCAGAAAGACAGTAGAAAAAGGAAGAATATCGGATGCCAGCCTCTAGTCTCCATGTGCGCACACATGTGCACACATCTCACATATCACACACACACACACACACACACACACACACACACACACACACACACACACGCTAATGCTGAGTCACAGTCAGTGAAGTATAAACTGATACTTTGTGCAACATTTTAAGATACTAATACCGTGCTGAACACATAACCCCACTACAGGAGTGACAGCCATCAACCCTGAGCTCAGCGGCTCTCCCGAGGGAGGAGTGAGAACTCCATTTCCACTCCAATGTTCTTTTCCTTATAGTTAATTTCTTCCCTTTAAGACAGGGCTCAGTACACAGTACATAGCCTAGGCTGGCCCAACCCCCTGCTCCTCCAGCCTGGGCTCCCTGTGTACTGGGATTACAGGTGTGCACCATGATGCCAGCCGGTCTCCGATGCTTCCATTCTTTAAACTAAACAACACACTGTATTAACGCTGAGTCGGGAAATGTTTCATTGCGCTCTATATTTAAAGTCACGGTTATAAAGTGCTTTTATCTTCTAAAAAGAGGAAAGTTCCAGTGTCCCCGAAACAGGAAGTTGTGAGGCGTGGTGTCTACTCCTGACCTGCTTCCCGACTGATTCCTCTAACTCCTGCTTTTGCAACCTTTCCCAGAATGACGTTCCACTGCCCTTCGGCTTTACTCCTTGGCCCAATTGCCTTCTATGGCCCCTCTGATGCTGATTTAGGAACAGACGTCCGACCCCACTGCTCTTGCTGAGGTGAAACTAGAGCAGTTCCTGGTTTTGCAAAAGAAGCTTTGTATAAATGCTTAACATACAAATCACCAAACGGTCTGCAGCAGAGACAGAAAAGCCAGCCGGACATATTCTTCCCGCCCACATCCAGCAACCGTTTTCATATGGCTTTTGTTTTAAAAGAAACATTATTCCTGTATGTGCCTCAAGAGAAAACTGTCATCTACAGTGTGACATACTTTTTTAAACCAGGACTTTGTTTGCATTCAAAGAATTCTCTTAAGTCTTGGCACAATTTTAAAAAATCATGTTTCTACTCTTGTCTATTAAAAACTTGAAATTAAGATATTGCTTAAGCTTCTTTGCACTCGGGGTTAATGTTTCCAAATTGCCATATGGCTTGATGTAGATGCCAATATTCTCCCCTCCATACTACCCTCTATGCCATTGAGGGCCTTGTGGGATAGGCTGGCTCTGTGGGTAAAGCATTTGCTGTTTAAGCATGAGGACCTGAGTTTACACCGCCAGCAATTCCCTCTTCCTACACACGGTGGCTCATGCCTGTATCCCCAGAGCTGGGGTGGCAGGTGAGGGGCAGACAGGCGGATTCCAGGGGCCCACTAGCTGGCCAGCCTACCCAGCCAGTGAGCTCCAGTTTCAGAACTTTCTCGAAGACTTGCGGTGTGCACTAGTACCTATACATGCAGAACCCCGGTGATTCTGCTGTGGAGACAGGGCCATGCTACCTGGAGCTTGTTTCATAGACCAAGCGGGCTTTGGATTTGCAGCAGCATGCTCCAGAGCCTCTGCCTTCCATCACCGGGATCGCTAGGTGCCAAGTGTGTTCCACCGTGGCTGGCAACCGACAGCATCTAAGAGTTCACTAAAATGCAGGCTCTAAGCTGGTCTACGTTTCCTGCGTAGGTGCTCACTGTGATGCGTTTGTAACACAAAGCGTAAGTGTTCTTAGTGCTGCAGCACTTTTTTGAGATGGGGTCTCGTGTACCCCCGTCAACCCTCAGGCTTGCTGTGAGGTGCTGGGATCACAGGCGTGCACAACCACCCGGCCTTATGTGGAACTGGGAACTGAAAGCAGGGGTTTGCATAGCTACACAAGCACTTGACTAACGGCGCCACATTACACACCCAGCCCTGGGATTTGTGCTTTAGTCTGTTATGACAACAGCATGAAATGGTTTGTTTTGTTTTCTGTGTTTTCTTACCAGCTACTAAGCCCCATTCCCCAAGGTTGGCTGCTAGCGCCTGTATGGTCTTAAAGGTAACAACTGGAGATTTGAGAACAAGTCTGTGCATGTGCAAGTAAGGACAATACGCTAAGGCTGTCGAAAGGATGCAAGAATTTGAACACATTCCAATTTCAGAGATTAATACAAAAAAGCCCAACATCGCCTTATATACATCAGATACTGCTTTAAAAACAGCTTAACCTCAGGTGGCGGTGGCACATACCTTGAATCCTAGCACTTGGGAAGCCCAGGCAGGAGGCTCATGAGCTTAGAGCACATGTGGTTCTGAGTTCAAGGCCAGCCTGGTCTACAAAGTGAGTTCCAGGACAGCCAGGGTTGCACAGAGAAACCCTGTCTCAAAAACTAAAAACTGAAAAAAAAACTCACCACAGCTTAACTTTTTTTCCCACAGTCCCAGGGATTATATCTCCTGTGTATGTTTGAGACAAGGTCTATGTAGCCCAGACTGGCCTTTAAACTCTCCATCCCCTCCACCTCAGCCTCATGAGTACCGGGATTACAGGGGAGCACACATCCAGCTTGTCCCATAGCTTAAAATAACACCGGCTAGGTTGTTGCTTTATGGCTGAATTGTGTTGGCCTGAGCGCCCCAGTCTCATCAGCTGGCAGTGGTGATCTGGGAGTTGAGAATCTGTAGGAGCTGGGGACTGGCCAGAATCGGGCTGATGTGGAATGGGGGTTTCAGGCTTGCTTTTCTTCTGCCTCCCGGTCCTTGGAAATGGGAAACCTCAGCCACACACAGGCACCAGGGAGCTGCCCACTGCCATGCCTCTCCCTCCACAAATGTATCCCTTCAAACTGGGAATCAAAATAAACTTCCTAAGTCACTTCTTGCTAGATATTTGGTAAGAACAAGGAGAAAGCAATCAATATTCCACCTTACTAATATTGCCTGCATTTTAGATGTTGGATCTATTCCTGTCATTTAATGTTATATTTTTATTCCCTGCAGTGAAACAACCACAAATGCATGTTTTCATGTAAAAGCACAAAGAAAAAACTGCAGCTCTTGCCATATTCTGGATCATTTTCTTTGACAAAAATCTCAAAGTGGGTTTGAGCTAAAGCTTATGATTTTTTTTTAGACTCTGTGCAAACTGGAAGTCATTTTCCCCCTGAAGAACCATGTTAATGGTACTTTAAAAACAGATTAATTTTTTATATATATGGGTGTTTTGTCTGCACATATGTGTGTGCATCATGTGCATGCCTGGTGCCCTCGAGTAGGGCATTGGATCCCCTGGAGTTACAGACAGCTGTAAGCCACCATGTGGGTGCTAGAAGTCGGACACAGACCATCTGCAAGACCAGCAGGTGCTCTAACCATTGAGCCACCTCTCTACCCTGCTAATGGCACTTTTGACAACACACTGTACTGCTGGCAGGACTCAGAGGGGTCCTAGAGGATGTTTCTAGACAGCAGGAAGCTGGGGAAAGAATGCGGAAGGGGAGACAGACATCTCTGGACACTTCCAATCACACCATCCTTGGGGTTTAAGGAGCATGTCCAGGCCTCAAGTGGAGCTGGGTGGGAGATTAACTGCTCCACATGCATGAGGGTCCTCAGTGTGGCCCAGCACAACCGGTGGGGGGTGGGGTGGGGGCTCCTCCTCCTAATTACAGAGAAATTTCACAAGAACAATTGATTCTCCACATACCTTTATTTCTCATCTCATTTTTTTTGTTTCTTACGCAATGACATAAATAAAAACACATACCATGAAAGCAGAAAGAAAACACATCTTATACATGATCCCAACAC